TTCTATCCGTTGGCCCGTCTACATAGCTGATGATCGGTCTAACCTTAAATGGTGACGGATTGGTTGACGCAAGATCATCAGGTGATACCAACTTATGTGTTGTAATAAGTAGGTATAGGACGGCACATGTTGGTTTATCGAATTTAAAGTGCGAAACAACCGATGATTTTAAACCCGCGACCTTTCCCACGCTGACCCATTGATTGTTTAGCTTTCGGTATTGACTTTTATATTCCTTTTCAGAGGATTGGCGATAGAAGTTAGCATCACTAAGATGTTCCTCTGTTATCTCAACATCCAGCTGGCGAGGAATAACTACGAACTCTCTCTCCTTATCACTAACAGACCATCTTATTATATTCGAGTTTATTATTTCTCTAATTTCTCATATGCCACATTTTTGTGCGGCTGTAAGATTAGAGATAAAGTTTTTATCGCGGTAGTGATCAAGGGTCTTGAGAACGCCGTCCGAAAACGCGCGGAATTTTATGTCAACTCCATCGTTAGGGTCCTGCTGTCTAAAGAACGTTTTTGGGAAAGGAGATGGTGGTAGTGTAGCCGCTTCTTNTGTACAGTGCGGTAACGTCGAAAGACTCCTGCACGTGCGCGTTATTAGGAGACGTATTATGTAGACGTTCTAGGAACATTTGGGTGTTTGTGAGGTGAGCTGGAATGTGGTTAAGCAACTGGGTAAGTATCAGGCTTGAAAACCAGGTTATTCTATCCGTTGGCCCGTCTACATAGCTGATGATCGGTCTAACCTTAAATGGTGACGGATTGGTTGACGCAAGATCATCAGGTGATACCAACTTATGTGTTGTAATAAGTAGGTATAGGACGGCACATGTTGGTTTATCGAATTTAAAGTGCGAAACAACCGATGATTTTAAACCCGCAACCTTTGCCACGCTGACCCATTGATTGTTTAGCTTTCGGTATTGACTTTTATATTCCTTTTCAGTGATAATCAAAATAGGGTTGATAATGCACCAAAAAAATCTAGGGTCACCGTGATTGGGGCATAACAATACCTGAGAATGCGCGCTCGCTATTAGAATTGGGCCCAAGTTTTGCACCATCACATCCCATTTCTAAAACGACCCTGCTTAGGATAGCGTGCAACCTTTATGATCTTCAAGATCGACTCCGTTATCAGACCAACCAAGAAACATCAAATAGAGATAAAAATCAAGAAGCGGCGACACTACCACCATCTCCTTTCCCAAAAACGTTCTTTAGACAGCAGGACCCTAACGATGGAGTTGACATAAAATTCCGCGCGTTTTCGGACGGCGTTCTCAAGACCCTTGATCACTACCGCGATAAAAACTTTATCTCTAATCTTACAGCCGCACAAAAATGTGGCATATGAGAAATTAGAGAAATAATAAACTCGAATATAATAAGATGGTCTGTTAGTGATAAGGAGAGAGAGTTCGTAGTTATTCCTCGCCAGCTGGATGTTGAGATAACAGAGGAACATCTTAGTGATGCTAACTTCTATCGCCAATCCTCTGAAAAGGAATATAAAAGTCAATACCGAAAGCTAAACAATCAATGGGTCAGCGTGGGAAAGGTCGCGGGTTTAAAATCATCGGTTGTTTCGCACTTTAAATTCGATAAACCAACATGTGCCGTCCTATACCTACTTATTACAACACATAAGTTGGTATCACCTGATGATCTTGCGTCAACCAATCCGTCACCATTTAAGGTTAGACCGATCATCAGCTATGTAGACGGGCCAACGGATAGAATAACCTGGTTTTCAAGCCTGATACTTACCCAGTTGCTTAACCACATTCCAGCTCACCTCACAAACACNAAAATTCCGCGCGTTTTCGGACGGCGTTCTCAAGACCCTTGATCACTACCGCGATAAAAACTTTATCTCTAATCTTACAGCCGCACAAAAATGTGGCATATGAGAAATTAGAGAAATAATAAACTCGAATATAATAAGATGGTCTGTTAGTGATAAGGAGAGAGAGTTCGTAGTTATTCCTCGCCAGCTGGATGTTGAGATAACAGAGGAACATCTTAGTGATGCTAACTTCTATCGCCAATCCTCTGAAAAGGAATATAAAAGTCAATACCGAAAGCTAAACAATCAATGGGTCAGCGTGGGAAAGGTCGCGGGTTTAAAATCATCGGTTGTTTCGCACTTTAAATTCGATAAACCAACATGTGCCGTCCTATACCTACTTATTACAACACATAAGTTGGTATCACCTGATGATCTTGCGTCAACCAATCCGTCACCATTTAAGGTTAGACCGATCATCAGCTATGTAGACGGGCCAACGGATAGAATAACCTGGTTTTCAAGCCTGATACTTACCCAGTTGCTTAACCACATTCCAGCTCACCTCACAAACACTCAAATGATGTTCCTAGAACGTCTACGTAACGCGTCTCCTAATAACGCGTACGTGATGGAGTCTTTCGACGTTACCGCACTGTACACCAACGTATCGAATGACTCCGAAATGCAAGCCATCTTCGCACTTCTTGTTGAACATGAAGGAAGAATAAATATGCATGGCTTGTCCATCAAGCAGCTAATGGCTCTCTTAAAGGAGTGCCTAAACCGCTCGATTTTCAGATGGTCCGGGAAATATTTCGCGCAAATAAGGGGGTTGGCGATGGGACAGTGATTGGTACCATGCCTTGCCATTGTGTTTATGTCTAAGATAGAAGCCCCTGCTCTTGGACCTCCGGCCACTACTCTACTGCAGATGTGTAAATGATTGTTTCGTCTTCTCTACGCAAGAGGAGATGGACAAATGCTTTGAATTATTGAACGAGCAGTCTGAGAACATAGAGTTCAACCGGGAGAAACCGATAAAAAACTGGCGTCCGTTTTTGGACGTTCAAATAAACCTATCAAGTAGCGGTTACCTGACAAAGTGGTATCGAAAGCCGAGTAACAAGAACATTCTTGTTTATTTCCTTTCTTTCCACCCTTCCTACACAAAGAGGGCGATTGTGAGAAAGATGCTTCGAACAGCCACCTCTGTGTGCGCTACTAGGGAACTAAAGGAAGAATCGCGGCACTTGGCTCCGCAGATAGCCATCTCCAGTGGCTACGAAATAGTAACCCTACGAGATAAATTTAGAAGGAGGGCAACGCGCCCATGCGAAACACTTGGCCAAGAGAAAGTCCCATTTATGTTGCCTTCTATAAGCGATGAAGTAAGCGTAGCTATAAAACGGCGCTTAAGAAGGGCAGGTCTAGAGGAATCGGTAGCCACAGTTGAAATACCACCGGCTACTTTACGTCGTCAAGTAGTTCGTAACCGCCTGTATGACCGTCTATGTGAAACAGCAAATTGCTTAATTTGCCCTTACGGGAGGGACGGTGATTGCATGAGTTCAGGTACGATATACCTGATCTCTTGTAATAATTGCGGAGATGAATATATTGGCAAAATGGGCAGACCTTTGTGTATCCTTATAAAAGAACACCTAGATGGCAAACGAAAACTTAGACGAAGCACCCCACTAGGCACGCATAGGATACAAAAGCATAGCGGAAACGATTTTGAAGTAAAAGTCAATATCCTTTCACCGGAGATTAAAACACCAGCGCGAAAACTTATTGAGGCTTCTTGGATAAATGCCAAAAACCCTACAATGAATAGCAGGGATGAATGCCCGGAGGTAATACGGGACATGACCCCGTATGTTCGCATCAATTTCTGATGTGGGATGGTGCAGTCGTCAACCATATGCGACTATAAGCAGCTGTTCTTAACTTCCTCAGTGGAAGTCACGTAAAAAGCGGTGAGTTTTTCGAGAAGCTGTTGATCATGTAATTACCATAGAGTTTTTCCTCTTTTTGTAAGTGTTATTGAAGCGTTTGGCCTAGTAGGTTGTATATCGGCATATCCTTCCAGGCTCTGAAGAAGGCGATACTGCCGAGACGTCAGCTAGTGTTGTATTGTATTGTGTTTTTCAATGGAAGTAAATGTATGCTGTTTAAAAACCTCGCAATTGCTGAACAAGAAAGCGACGCATTCATATTCCAATGCCGAGGTTAATGGAATGTCGATGCTGGGAACTACTACGACTTTGGTTGCTCAGCACCTGTAGTTGATATGCCTATTATTTTAGCATTCTCCACTTGGATTTTGCCGCATCCAAAGTGCACAGAATCTTTTTGAAGCTGTAAATGGTATTGTTTCTAGTCTGCGTGCATTTTAAGTGCAAATTGCCACTAAACATTGGCAACATGTTGTAAAGCTGAGGTTTTTAGAAGCCTCTCTCTGCTCATAGCTTCCATTAGCGTATCCTTGCTACTTTGCTCTAGTAAATGAGGGGGTTCGTTTCACCGGTTTTCGTGATTAATTGCCGTCATTTGGATCACCGAACTTGGCCAGACCTCGTCAGTGTGCTCACAAAGCAACTATGAGACTTATTTTCTGAAGGCAGTATCGATTTATACATTTCTCGGCTAACTGATTGCAAGTTTCTGTGGAAATAATTCTGCAACATGCGTCCAAGAGCATTCATTCACATACAAATGTACGTGTTCTTTCATGAGTTACTTTGAATAGTTTATGATTACTGGTGTGGGAAGCGTTGGAGATCTAATGCAATATGCTCTTGATCGGTGATTCGAGCCCATAACGGACTAAACAAGCCCCTTCTTGTCTGTTGCTTCTGCAAAATAGTTCCAGAATTGTCTTAGAGAAGGTGTCTTCCTTCCACAAAGGTCGACGACTTCTTTTGGTCAGAAGCTAGAATACTTTGGCAGAGCTATCCCACCAATCCAGAGAGATTCAATTGGACAAGCATTTATCAAAGTCCTTGATGAGGTTAAAATACTCGAGCAGCATTATGAATCCGAAGATCTTCATGGATAAGGGATGCAGGACAGTGAGATGAATGAGGTGTTGCTATCTTCCCAATATCTGTGGAGAGAGACCGTATATATGAATTACATAAATGTTATGTTTTACTATTAAGAAAAGCAAAAGACCGTTTCTTGGTTTTAGGGCACGAATTTCACACGCAAACTGCAAGTGGTGATCGTTATCGATCAGAAGGTGCAGAAAAATCTGAGAGTACGAGAAATGGCATTAAAGGACGTACAAAATGTCGCCGACACACTGAACGTCAACTTAACGGTAAGGATTTACGTACCATATTATTAGAAGAAGAATAGGGTGAAGAGTTGAGGTAATAGGTCATCAAGAGTTCGATATAAGCCTTGGTTCACTCTCGCATAGGCAGTTTCATTTCCACGAAAATAAAGCTCTTCTTGCTTATGATATTGGTCAATTGTTACCAGGAAGGATATTAATGTTGACTTACTGACGCAGACCATTGCGTGTGTCAAACACATGTGCACTACCCTAGCAGATTTTTTAAATCGTACACGATTACGCCGTTCGTCTGATTACGGGATTGCTCACTGCCATGATCGCTGACTATCGTGTTTGAATGGTCTTACATCATTTTATGGCTGTATACATATATAAGGTGATAGAACGGCAGGTTTAATAATTTCTTCCAGCAAATTGACTTCGACCGATTGGATTTTGGTGAGACAACTGCGCTCGACACGTTCTACAATGCCGATGTCGCCCTGGTGGACGTCACCGTGCAGCAGCAGCAGCCCAGTTTGTGTTATCATATCGGTGAGGAGGCCTAATCACTAGATATCTCGACCAAGTGGTGCCAGTGGACCGATGAATCTCTACCCATTAGTGGATCATGACTGGCACAATTTGATGGTTTTAACGTTTAGTTAGAATCATACTACCAAAATCGTAGCTCGCTTCAGTGCATGTTTAGAAATGTAATGCAAAAAGTGCATGTAGAAAACAGCTGCAAAATTCTGTCGAAGCATTTCTTTTGAGGAAAGGGGTACACATTCATCAAGGCTGTATTGGAATACCGATGAATGTAGGGCACTACGAACTGTTTGCTTCACTCATGATAAAGCCGCATTTTGGTCAACTGCCGATATTTTTTGATAACCAAAATACTTTAGAATTTGGTTATGCCTAGAGAATAGGCTTTAGCATACCAACTTGATGGCCCAAGTCTTTCTGAAATTTTACTTAAATATTAAATTTTTTAGCAATTCAAGTTTGCAAAGAAAAGACTGAAAACGAAGCTTATGCTGTAGAAACCTTTAACGCAAGTGCGGCAGCTGCAAACAATGACGATGCACTGGTGGATACCATCGCGTGCTTTTCGAAATCACTACTGTTCAACAGCTTAATTGTTTGAAGTAGAGACATCGATGAGAAAAACCGATGAAAACACCTTTTATGGTCCTAAGAAAGTCTCAGTTTTTTCATAATCTTGTAAAAGAATTATCACCTTAGCAATGATTTATAGACCCTGATGTTTTCTACCCCAACTAATTAAGTTAACTATGACGTAAGACATTCCTGGCTAAAGTTAAGAGACGCTATCACATTCACTCACCCATAAACTAGAATCGGAGGTTTTTCTACCGTCATCTTTTATTTTAATTTAACTGAATGCTATTAAAGTACCCTGATCCACCACCGTCTTGGTATCAAAGTCGCATGGTAGCAAATCTCCCTCGGATCCACAAGGGCTGCGACTGCCCGTGGCGGTGAAGACCTGGGGCAGACTTTGACCAGGCTGACCTCGGGATTCCATGACACCACAATGGCTTAACCAGAAAATCTCTGATAGATGGTGATTATGCTGAGGCCTACACAACCAGTGAGAACGGGCCATTCAAGTTCCCAGTGTCAAGTGTGAATAGTAAAGGGTTTGCACAAAAATCTGTGATATGGAGAATTTTGTAATGTTCTTTCTTGTTTTGTGCCATTTTAAATTTAGGATTGCTCTGTGTTTTTAATTCATTGCGGGTGTACAACTTTAAATTTAAAAATATTATAAATAGTTGGATAAATGGGAAGGGAACAATGAAGTGGATGAAGAGACTAAAAATGAGTGAAAGATTTGTGAATGAGTGTGAAATGAATGAATATATCGGGAAGTGAATGACTCTGAGGAAGTGATAGGAAGTCGTCGAGCGAATGAATCGTCTTGATTGAGCAAGCCAACGACCAAGTACATAACGTCTCAGTTCAGGTGTGCGTGAGAGCATGAATCAGTCGTACAACATCCTGATGACGTACATTGCTCCGGACTCCGAGTATCACATCATCGACGCACTGAAGGTGGGTTGAACGACTTTTTTGCTAACTGAGTTGTGGATTTCCTTCAAGCTTGAAACTGTTTATCTTTATTCGTTTTTCTTATACGTGCTGTTTACGTTAGTACAATTTTGAAAGCTTTGGCTAAAGTTCCCATCGAATTCATTCTTTCTCATCTTTCCTGAAGTATATTATTGTTCCTAGAATTTCTCTTGTCCTTCGTGCAGTCGTAGAAATGACGCGAACATCAGTTTAACTTTAGTTCTGTCATTATATATCTTGGTCCAACCAAATATAAAATGAAATAAGTAGGCAAAGAATAAGTGCAAAAATCAGCCTTTTATGTTATATTTGTTCGTAGCTGGATTTCCGATGATAACTTCTGAATTACGGGGATTTGGTTAGTGCCTTCATCTTTTTCGCATGCGTTGAAGTTTGTATAATATAACCTGCTTACATAACTGATGGATGATCGGGAGACCTCTCATATTCGGTTTCAGAAAACTCATGCCCATCTGCCGATGATTGTCTACATGAAGTTTCCAGAGAGCAGCACGCTTCAGTCTTACGATCGTAATATGAACGTGAGTTCGAGATCTCGTTTATTTCTTTCGTTCGTCATTTCTTTCAAAGTATATATCAGCTCTTTGTTTCTCTTCTAACGGAGCGATCATCTCGTATCCCATGTTCGGTCTCTAGCTATTGCTCACGTGCATTTTCATTACCATTTTCCCGATCATGCTTCTCTTTAGCTCTGGAGTCATCAATCTTCGACGCTTTTCTTGATATTAGGCATATTTTATTTCTATGTTTGCTCAATTAATAAAGTGTCGTGGCTTACTGAGAAAGCACTGAGAATCCATCTTGTTGTGCATTGTGCGTTTTCAACTAATGAAAATTATTTAAGTAGATATGTGGTCCCAAAGAACTTAATGAGGGAATTCGTGCGGCTGCAGAAACTGTGACAAACGTCGTTGATTGACATTTTTAGCACATTTTTTGAAAATTCAATTCTCAGTGCAAGTGATGAATCCGGTAGTTCCTGATCGTAAACGAAATTTATTTCGTTAGGTGCAAAGAAAGGGATCGTGACTGAAATATTGTCCAAGTAGTATATTGTGTCTACCTAGTATTAATGTCGAACATTCACCATCTCTGTCGCCTGTCCTCAAGGAAAACAAGTGTGTGCAAATAGTCTCCAGTGATCTTAGTATTATGCTTTTGATAGCGCGTTTCATAATGCCGACCGCTTGTTTGTCCTACCTTGATACTATAGAAGCTTCCGAGGCATATTTAAGCCGAGGGAATCGCAGAATTGGAAGAATAGACACAGAATCACCAATTCTTTATTTTTATATCCTCAGTTCCAGGATAAACTAATTGAACAATTAATTTCTTCTTTGTTGAGCATTTCATCGAAGCTGTTATTTATAGTTTGTTCATTCCATTGAGCGTGAGCAGTTTTCAGAAATTAAGACTTTGAGGTTGCCTATTTGGTTACGGTACTTTCTGTCCCAAGAATCCACATGCAATTTTGAGAGGAATGCTTTTGAAATTTGTAGTAATTTGTAGTAACGGTCTTGGTCACTGTAATGGTCTTAGGTAGTTCTGTTTCCTGCTCGTCTAACTTCGATCCGTGGGAATCTTGTAATATATTCAAAGGTTTTTAGCAGTATAGAAGTCAAAATATCGCTTCTGGAACTTCTCCAACTCCATCAGAATGTTTTGATCCAATCTCCACTGAAACTTGATGTTGAGACGTAGACAACCGACAATTATCAGGAGTGGCGTTGGCGCACATCTGTTCGGTCATAAATGTCGGACTTGGTTCGTTTTCGTTTAAACCAAACGATGTTCATAATCATGGCCTTGCTTATAGCAGCGCCGAGACTTCCCTACCTGTGGCATGGTCCCAGGATAATTTCGTTTCCAACATTGCCAACGACACTTATAATGTGATATCTTCTCGTCTGAGTCATTCTGATTACGCATACTTGATCTTTTAGCCTTGCATCATTTGTTTACCAGTGGAGGTGCTCAGTAAGATTATCTCGTTCACACTTTTTAATTAAAGATCATCCCCACTGTTTTGCAACTCCTGAATATTTTGCGAGGCCTTTTTAGGGTAGTCTTAGAGCTTACGTCATTTGAAAATTGGGGGAATTGGTGGTTTTTATTCCGTGTTTAATCTCATTTTTGCCATTTCATAGTGCCATGTAAACCTCGCGACTGATCGGCTGGAGATTCTTCAGTGAGAATAGAGAACCCTAGATTGGTACCGATTGATTAAAAGAAAACGATCCCAGATTTGTGAATCGGAACCTATGGTTTGGTATTTGTTACATGCGCTTCAATGAACGTAAACGGTGCACTATCGTTCTACGTGGAACGAGCACGTAGATTTTCAATGGCTGGCGTTTTGCCATCATCATCTTCGGAAGGAAAAAGTTCTTAAAATGTGAAATTCGTGACTGTCTTTGTACTTTTCGTGTTAGTTTATTGGAAACTATTGTAGCTCCACGTGAGTTGCAATTATCAACATTCCGTGCACGATATTCACATCTAAGGGCAGAAAGGGAAGAAGAATTCAACATTATGTAGCGTATGTTTACGATTACCATACATTGCCTTCTGCTACTTCTTGCTGCGTTTTAAACCCGTTGAACAAAGCTGCATGGAGAAAATCCGACACATCATTTTATGCGCCATCAGCGCGTCATAGATGATGTTATCATTCGGAAAGTGATGTCAGAAAAATTTCGTCACAGCCGCATTTCTATAATTCGCTTTAATGCCTTCTTATTCCGACAAACAAAAGCTGTTAGCGCTGTCTGTGTACTGTTCGCCTATGTCCGAACTCGATCACGGTGATGCTCCAAGTATAGTCGGATCGCTCTGTTCGTTTGGTGTAAGTGAGGCGTTTTTCTGCCGTTTCCCTCGCGTTCTTTAGAGGAAAACTGAATGCGTCATTGGTTGTCCCGTAAGTATTGGACACATGACGAATTCAGTGGCATTGTACACGTCTGTCTGTTAAATTTTGAAATGAGCAAGCAACCCATGTTTTCTTCAATGATTCTCATCGCTATAGGCTTTATTGTATTCTTTTTAAAATCGATTTCAAAGAAATCGGAGGTGGTAATTAGAATTGGTGATCCTCACTTGGCGTTCTAGGTTTTATTTATTTTCGGATTGTCCGCTGTAGGATTTCTTCAAATAATAAAACTACATATGGTTTTTGTATACCTTGAGAGGAGGTTTACAATAATCCCTTCCAAAGAAGTGTTTAATTCGGGGTTTATTAAGTTCTATCCATTTACAGCCGTGTAAACGCGATATGGATGATGATCCAAAGTTTAAGAGTCAGAACAAGGTCACGTTTAAATCAAGGCTGAAATCATCTTTGAAGAGTGTTCAAATTGAAGCCAGGTTCGTTCTTTGCTTCCACTAACTTTGATTTTCTTCTCAACTCACATCAGTTTTTTTCATTTTTCTTTGTTTCTGCTGGTGTGATCCCGGAAATATTTTATAAGCAATATATTTTTAAACTGTTGGGCTTTTTTTAAAATTTTTAATTGGTTTAGTTGAAACCTTAACAACATTTTTCTGCCTTTCCTTCATTATTTCTAGCGTAATTTTTTTTACATCTATCGTCGATTCGAAGTATTAATATATATGGGCAATCGGAGGGTCTATATGAACCATTAATGGATGCTTCAGCATATTTTTTATCCGTTTCTTTCTTGTGCATTCTCATCGGTTCCCAACATGATTACGTCTGCAAATGCAGTTCCGTGATTTATTCTACTGTTCTTCTCCTCCATCTTTCGTCTGTTCTTCTTATTACATGATCCATCCATAAATGTTTCGCTTTCGAAATATATTCTCTTTAAATTGGGATAACCTGAGGTGGTCGGAATCGTTCACTTCAACTAGGTGTTTTGTGTGCTGGTTATAGTTCAGAAGACGTCGTACTTACTCTATCTGGGTGATGAATGGACTTTTTGGCGTCTCTGAAGTGTCAGCTTGCGTTTAGGCTTCGTGTAAGAACGCTAGGAAAACCAAAAAGATGCGTTTGCAGTTTCCGAGCCATCGATTGATCTCTGGGTTCTCTAGGTGGAGGGAACTCAACCCACTCTTGTAAAGCGACTTTCATTTAACCTCGGTGTAGATAATCAATGTACTTTCGACCCACACTGCTCTTGTTTTCTGTAATTCCTCTCTATATCCTTTTTCATGTTTATTAGACATTCTTGGTGCACTTGTTGTGTAGTAACCATAGAGCTACAGAGTGAGACTTTTTTGCCAACGGTTTATCATTAGCTGAGACATGTTCTGATTTATGCGTATTCATCTTTCCCCATTTCTTGACCACCTCATACATAACGTCAGGAAGACAAGGATTTCATATGAATTTCCCATGAACACATATTGGTCTTTTCGTCACAATGGAATGATTTCATTATCCACTGCAGAGTAGCACTGAACAGTTTGGCAAGGTGGAGTAGCCCAGTTGGAGTTCTTTCCATGCGAATGTGTTAGGTGGTTGGCAGAAAAACGATATTGCGATAATAGTAGGTGAGAGTTCTTATCTCCTTGATCTGGCAGTTATGTGAGGATGAGAGTCCATTTAGAATCTATCCGCCTTACATGGAGTACCGTTTTTTTTCTTGGAGGGTGTAAACAGTTGTTTTCTTGCCTACAGCTGAATGGTCTTCGCACAGAAGTTGTTTTGAGCACTACGGATAGTAGCTGGTTCTTGTTGTCCAGGAAGGATTTGCGACTTGGAAGGACGCAGTAAGCTTGTTAGCTAAGACGGCTATGGTTTCTGGCACTGGTTTACTTTAAGAGGTTTTCTAGTGAAAATTTCTCATCCTGCCAAACTTTTCTGGCGTGATACACCGCGTTGTACATTGCAGCTTGGTACCCATGAGCATCTCGTACTCACGAAAGGGTGACTTATTATTAAAGGAAGCGGTCTAGAGTAAAAGTGTATAAATCAATTCGGCCCGTTTAGAAATATTTGTCCGTATGTGAAACATATTATGTCCGTTTTGGTCTCAGGATCATATACACCATTACTGCACACGTTCATGAAAACTTTGAATAAGTGATCACTATTATCGACAAATCTGTTTCTGCAAATACAAACGCGTATGTACACTGCGCAAATGATACGAAGCTTTACTGAAATATAGGGCCAAGGAGATGTTAATAAGTGCACAGTGCATTGTTTGTTTTGAAAGTTAATAGCGATGAATTCAGCCTTGAAGAAGCGGGAGGTTGTGGGCGACCACCTGCTATTGACGACGAGTAATTGAAGGCTTTGCTGGAAGTGAATGCACCCAAAACTATCCGTGAAGTTGCAGCAGAATTCACTATTAGTATATCAACTGTTTCGGAGCATCTAAAGATAAAGGAAAGTCGAAGAAAATCTACAAAAAGGCACCGCGCCAATTGAATGGCAATCAAAGAAGTCGCCGTTTTGAAATATCGTCGGCGCTTCTCTTGAGCAACTGTAGTGACTAGGTTCTTAACTGCATTGTGGCGTGCAGTGAAAATTGGAATCTATGGTAATGTGCGACAATCAGCTCAGTGCTTGGAATCTTATGAAGTTCCGCAGCACTTTCCAAAGTCAAAGTTGTACCAAAAAAGCCATTCTGACTGGTTGGTGGTTTATTGCTGGTATTATTCGTTACTTACTTGATACTTGATACTTGAACGACCCGTCGTCACTTGTTCTGTGGGCCCCAACATAATCAACATTGTTTCGGAGATTTGCTGGTTAAGCCATTGTGGTTCCCTGGAATCCCGAGGACAGCCTGGCCAAAGTCTGCCCCAGGTCTTCACCACCATAGGCAGTCGCAGCTTGTGGATCAGAGGGAGATTTGCCACCATGTGAATTTGGTACCAGGACGGTGGTGGTTCCTTGTATTGGTTTACTCTTAGCTAGGTTTCCTGATGGAAACGCCGGACTCCTAAGCTCGGGAGACCCTGTTGAGGGAACGAATTCCCCTGCTGTACATCGCAGTCCGACACGCAGGAACACCTCCCAGCCACGATGAGGCGGTAAATCGTTGGGTGGTGATTCAGCACAGTTTCCTGAATCCGGTGAAACGGTAACGACAGTGAAGTACGTCCAGCAATTTGGCATATATGCCACAAAATTCGACAGTTGTGCACTGCACTGGTTAAGAGAAAGGGACCAATTCTTCTTAATGACATCGTGTGGCCACATGTTGGTCTAACGAAGCTGCAGATGTTGTTGCGCTGTGAAACTCTGTCTCATCCCCCACACTCACCTCTCCCCTATCGACTACCAATTCAAGCACCTCGACAATTTCTTGTGCGAAAAAAGCTTCAGAAACAACCTAAAGTTGAACCCACTTCAACGATTTAATTGTCACCAGGAGTTTAGAATTTTAAGCAAGTGGTATAGTAAACCTGCTTCTCGTAGGGAAAATTGTCTGTATTCTAACGATTTCTATTTCGAATAGTAAAGTTTGTTTTGAGCTGAGGTCTTCCGCTTAGAATATGCAGGTTGAAATCGGACACTTTTTCCCAAGAACTTAATAAATACATTTAGTGTAGATACAATCTACTTGTCTTGGCTATATCGTGTTGTATGAATCAGGTAATTCTGACATGTGCTACGATAGCTCTCAATTTCTAGCATCAACCCGGCGTTAAGTGATGATACATTTTAGTGCACATTCGCGTGAGAAATTCCTATCGGATTTGCGGAAAGCCCGAGAAATCACTGATGTGAATGAAACGAACGATTTTCTGGACAAAATGCGCTGCCGCCTGGACAATCCGGATGTGTTGTCTGTCGACACCGTACACCAGTTGATGATCTCATACAGGTGAATTTGTCCTCACAGAAAAAATTCGTCTTCTCAACAAATTCCACCCACTATTGCACTACATTAATGTTATTCCAATTTCAGTTTTGACGACTTTTTTATTATCTTATATATGTAGTGTGGCATTATTTATAGAGACAATCAAAACTACAACGGGATGATTAGTTTGGTCGAAGATCTAAGCCGCATAGAGGATTGTACCTTGGTCGACACACAAGTCATTCGTTACCAATATGCGTTCGCACTGGCAAGGTAAACTGTTCTATCTTCCAGTGAAGCTCCAGTTTTATCACTTGTGAGCAGAATTTCTAAAGTTGCCATTAGTATAGTTGGTTGATCTATAATTTATGGATTCTTGCCTTAGGCGTAATAAGGAAGGTGACAGTGAGCGTGCATTAGCTACGGTCATGAATATCATCGAGTCAACAGCCGACAAAGAAGCTCTGAGTCCCGACGTTATCTGTTTGGCGGGTAACTGGTTTTCCTTGAATTGTTGGTCTTTCTATTTTCAATTCCCTTTATTCCCTCTCTATTCCGTTATTATCGTATTGTTTTGCTTCTTGCGGGCGTTTTTTGTTGATCTTTTTAGTTCAGCGTGTCTTTATTTAGGTCGAATCTATAAAGACAAATTCATCGCTAGCAACTATGAAGATCGTGAAGCATTAAATAATGCAGTGTCATGGTTGGTTTACTGTTTTCTTGAGAATAAGCAACTTCGTTAAATGTACGGATTTTTTTTCGAATATATTTCTCATCCTTGGATGCGGGAAAGGTGCATTTGGACATTTTCACTTTTTCGAAGTGGTTACCAATTGTGTTGTTGTGAAGTTAGGGTGAAACAGTATGCTACGTTATAGAGGGTTTCCGTGATTTCCAGGGTGCGCGTGGCGCAGTGATCGGAGGCGCCCTGCAACACACACGTGGAATCGATCCCCACGCCCATGGCCCACCAAATCCTCCACCTTTCCGGGGTCGGCAAATTCATATCAGACTTGTCTGGGAGGATAGCAGAACTGGTTCGATACATCGGTAGGCCACCGCGAGTCATTTTAAAGGCCAGATATTCATTCACTCACCTCCAGACGATTCTTAATAAAGTCGAATGCATGGCGCATCCCCCAAGAATTGATCAAAGTCGAAAGCTTTATCTTTTTATTCTTTATCCATGAATCCCAACAATATTTCATAAGTGTTCTTTCAGCACCGTAATTAGGGCAAAGTGCTATACTTAATGCTTTCTTGAGAAGAAGTCAGACACATCTACAAGTCGTATTTTGCTGTCTAACACTTCGTATAATAAGCTTTGTCAGTGTTATTACCTTTTAGGTATCGGAAAGCTTTCGAGATGTCTCCATTAGAGCATAGTGGCATTAACCTCACGACCTTATTACGAGCAAGTGGTGAACACTTTGAAAACAACACTGAAATGCAACAGATAGGTGCAGTGTTTTCACTTATATTGAACATTTTCAGCAGTCACTAATGGTTCTTTCTACAAAGGTGTACGTAAATTTTATTGTTAATTCTCACTGAAACTTCTCCTGTGCGAACTTCCAGGTGAATTAAAGAAACAGTGAGGAGAACAGGCGAGACAAATGAAGGAATGACAGTGCTTGAATCTTAAAAAATGATGTGAAAAGTGTGGTTGTATAATATATGCATATGAATGGACATATTACATTCATCCTATCGAAGCCTATGGTAGGGTGGTTACTCGGAAAAAGGTTGTTCTTTGCAGTGCATTGAGATCCACCGCTTAAGGTTCGTTATGCGTCAAGGTTCAGGCAAGAGATTCCATCCATAGGCCTTAATGTGTTAAGTACTTGTTTTTATTACTAATAATTGTTAACGCTTTATGAGAAAGCAATTAAAATGCGTTAGAGAGTTGTCTTTAATTAATTACGTTTTATCTTATGTGAGCTTAAGAGTAAATACGCTCTTCTAGAAACCACAAAGATATCTACCTGGAAGTGATGGGGGTAGCACAATGGTAGTGATGCCCGTCATCACGAGCGTGGTGCTAGTTCGATTCCGCGCAACCAAGCTTCTCATCCCTCCAGGGTCGAGAAATTGGGACCGAACTTGTCTGGGAAAAATCACTCTCTGCAATCCAATTGGAAACGCTTCAGTCCGGCTATCTCAGGACTCCAGAGAGAATTGCTCGATCAGCATTCTACGATATTCAAGATGAAATGAAGATCCTCGAGCAGCAACTGAAGCCACACATGGAGTTGGAAGATCTACGCGGAAAATAGATCCGAGGAAACGAATCGAATGTGGGAAGAAGTGCCGGGATCTGCACAGTATGCGTGAAGACGGGTAAAATAAAATATAAAAATTTTATTTGGAAGTAAGATAGGAAGAAGTGCGAGACGAAAACGCAGTGGTTGACTCAAGTGGGTTAGGTTTTACAGACACATCGATCGCCGATAACGTTTTCATTATAAGTTCCTTCTCTACAACTTGTTTAATGCTCTTGATGTGACCGCAAATTCTACGATATTCGATAATTCTGCGAGTAGATCGCATCTCAATTTGACCTTTCCAGGCTCTGAAGAAGGCGAAACCGCCGAAACGTCAGCAATTGTGTTCTAATAAATTCTATATTAACAACCTCGTGTCTGCTTATTGATGAAAAACATTGAATTCTACGATAGTTCGGATTTATTTTGTAGAAGCTACCCATGCAGAATTACTTTTGTCGTTGTTTTTTAACTAAACTTCCACTTCTTTAGCAGTGGTTTTGAATTCACTTCTGGGAAGAAAAGGCGCTTTACATCAGCTCACCGATTACTGGGACGTTGCCACGTATTTTGAGGTAGTTATTGCCTTACTAATTCAAATTTGAAAATCATCGGCCATTTTACTCCAAATATTTTGTCCTGTCTACAGATATTTTTTTTCTCGAAGCTTCATTAGGTGTCCGTCCTAGCTGAGAACTATCAGAAGGCTTGCGAAGCAGCGTTGAAAATGGCAATGTTGAAGCCGCCGGTTTGGTAAGCACTGTTCCTTGACATTGCTAGTTGTTCCACAAGGTTACGAACTAATACACTTTAAATCTTACTAAGTATTCACTATGGTCACCGTACTAACTAGGACTGTTTTTATAGTCGCTATTAAACTAACAATACAGTGGAAATTAGTTCCTTAGCACATACTGCTGGATTCCTGTTTTTTGATAAAAAGAGTTTTTGATAACTGGTTATAACTCACGATAATTAAAGGACTTGAAGGGTTAAGAAATAGGTGTGCTTTTAGAAAAGCTTCAACGTTATTACTTTGAAAGCAAAATTGTTCTCTCTAAACTGTTGTGTAATTTTTGAGTTTGTTTAAAATTGGAATTAAAAAAATTCAAATTTCGAAATATTTAACGAACATCAACGATGCATCGGAGGTGCACACCACTTCGTACTCCTGGATGAAATCGCGCTTATTTAATCGTTCGTCATCCGAAATACGTAATTAGGCGAAAGAAAAAGCGAAAAAAATTTACTAGCTCAAAAATTAGAATATTGATTTACTTATTACTTACTTATTTACTTTTCCTGCTTAACGTACGAAACGTGGTTCCTAAGTAAACAGGACGAAAATCACTCACAACTGTCGAAAGCACAATGAAGAGGATGTTGCAGGCGGTATTTCATATCGGGTATGCGCGAAGGGGAATCCGTAGTTAGGACCTACGTTAGTAATCAAAGGCGCCGTTATACGCTTAGAAATGTCGAAAATGAAGTGGGTTGGACACATCATGAGTCTTAGTGACATTCGGTAGGCAAGAACCGTTAACGACTAGTTCCTAAAGGATGTTAAGCACATAAGAAACAAAACTTTGCTAAATTTCACATATTTTATGTTCCTCAAGTCAACGATGGAAAACATCAAGCTAATCAATCGTTGTGCTGCTACAATTAGTCCGATTGAAAAGGTGAGTGTTTCTTTGTCACATAATTTTATCTTTAGAATCAATTTCTATGTGTTGAAAATGAATTTTATAAGTGGAGTTTAAGAGATGAAATGAAAGAATTGGGAATATGTGCATGACTGCTAATTCTTTCAGTCCTCCTTCCACCAATGTTGAGTACCTTGCCGTGATCAAACTTCCATTCCTTTTAGGAAAAGCAGCAATTCCTATTTTGGTCCGAATTTTTCATGGAAGCAATCGATTCAGAGACGGAGGTGACGTGTGCTCGTTTTCCAGTCCTGATTCAAGAACTTAATAAGGCGAGTCGTACATCTTTTCTTAACATAATTTCGTAATTATAATTGCCTTAGAATATGTGTTGAAGAGTGAATGGAGGTGGGTAGGCATATGGTCATTGGTTCTACCCCATCCCGAGTAAAACAAACCCTCTATCCCTACGGGGTGCAGATTGGTACAAGCTTTGTTTGAGAGTATAAAAACGTTGATTTATTACATCGATAGGTGCTACAAGTCATTGTGTAGACCAGATATGCATAACAGTCGCCTTTACGACGATTAGCAGAGTTGAATGCTGGGCACATTACTAAGGAATTGATGGACACTTTATCCCTTTGACTGCAATGGCTCATACATAACAACTGGATCGTTTTTGCCTAACAGTCTAATATGTGTTGTCCACAGTCTGTGTTCTATTTTATGTCATTTATGGTTGTTAATAGTTGGACATGAAGCATCATTCTGTCCTTTTCTGCCATGTGTATTTAGTTAGTTTGAAACACGCATGGAAAGCCATATTTCGAGATCGCTAAAGAGTTTTGCACACCATGCACGGAGCCCTTGAACGATGTCTTCTGAAGTCTAACCAGCGCTTATGACGTAAGCCGGATTGTACAAGTTAGGTCTTTGCAACCTATTTCGTTTTTGAGATCCAGGAGAATACACATCGATAGCGAAGCGCAGACGTGCGATAATGTACTAAAGAGAACAGAGCTGAGATGGACGAAAAGAACTGTGCAGTGGATTCGTAACGAATTAAGCGTTCTGCGGACGACCACCTAAACGATGGGCGGTCATGTTCATGGTTTACGTCAACCATCTGCATTTGCAGATGGAAACGATTTCTGTAACACAGAATGTGCCTCACAGACGTCATTATGTTCGAAGCAGACCAATACCATTTATAATTCGGGGAAAGGTTAATAGAAAGTCGATCCTTATGCCGAGGTTAATGGAAAGTCGATCCTAGGAACTGTTCTAAGTAACTGAATTGGTGAATAAGTAGACACCGATAACTAACCAGGTTTTGTCATGACAAATACGTTTACTTCTATCTGTTCTTCCTGATGGAAATTTTGAACTCCTTTGCATCGGAGACCAGTGGATCGAATCCATTTCTGTACTTCACAACCAAGAATACCCTTTGGCTAAAATGAGGCGGTAAACGATTATGAAAAATGCTATTGCAACAGTTTTAGATGAAAACTCTTCCCTCGTTGACGGACACATACCTTTCATGCAGTCTTTCTCGTCTCTAACGTACCTTGAGGTAGTGGTCGTCGTGGGTGACTTCGACTATGAAAAAGTGGGCTTTGAAACATCAAAAATCAGGAATTTATAGTTCTCGAGTGTTTCCGTATAGAAGATGTTCATAACTTAATCGACCATGGTAGAGTAGTAAAATGGAGTAGAGATACAACCACAATGATGCTGAGATATTGGCAAAACTCCGGACCGCAGGTGTCTGCGGTGGGGAACGAACGCACTGTTACCCTCTCTCGAGATGAGCGGTTGACGGGTGATTGCTGATAGCACTAATCGATGGAACTAGCTGAGATTCAGGCGAAATGAAGGACTCACATGGTGTTGTGGTGAGCGCGTTAGCCCCCGGAAAGGGTAATAGCGCGTTCGTTCCCCACAGCAGATACCTGCGGTCCGGAGTTTTGCAAATGTGTCAGCATTATTGTGGTTGTATTTCGCATCATACCCTTCCATGGAAAATTATAGTGGGCAGCAAATGACAAGTTAACAAGGAGTAGAGATAGTCATTTTTATGCAGTTTTATACTTTACAGTTAACGATGGGCTGACGATATTCCCTACGGTTCTCTACAAATACTATTTGAACTGAGCAGAAGCGCTTTTGAATTCGAGTTATATTGCAAGATTCATTGATAGTCCATAACTATGAATTTAACTTCAGTGAATAGTTGGTAGAACGACTTCTGAGACTCTACTGAAATACAAAGGTTTTTTGGACAGGTTTGGTTAGATCTATTTTATTTAGCAATTCACATCATCATATCTCACACTAAACGTTGCCGAAAAATCGATGATACTTAGCCATGTGCTTGAAAATAGTCAGCAGAAAAAACCTCCACCTGGTATGCCTTTTGTGTTCTTTTTTTTCCCTCAAAATGGTTTTTGTTTATTTCTTATAATGGACTTATCATCTCGTCAGTGAATGTTCGGGACCACATGAATCGCTTCTTTAATTCTGATATATTAAATATCGTTCTATTTCCTAGTTAGAAAAGTGGTTCCTGTTGAGATTTACTACATAGAGTCACTGCTGTGCGTAAACCTTATCAAAATCTTCTTTTATCGGGTCAAGTGGCGTTGGATTATTGGCTTCCTTCGCAGGTATCCATCGTTGGCACTTCACTGCTGGCAATATTAAAGCGGTTTCGGCTTCAAAACGTGACGACCGTTCAATGTTTCTTTACGTACATGAGAACTCGGACGATTTCAACCTCGTGTTTCCGTCAGCTGCCCACTGCAACAAGTTAGTAGCAGCTTTTAATGCTTCATGAAAAATTGCTCTTGGGATTTGAGAAAACTGTGTTGCTTAGTAATGCATAAATTATGATACGCATGAGGGTCAAAATTCTGGTAAATGCATATTGCTCTGACATGAGCTTATAAAATTTTATAAGTGGAAATACAACTAAAATTTGATTGTGTGCCAGAAATTGCGCTGGTTTATAAGAAAACTTACCCTTACATTTCTTCGCTATGTTGCATTTATCTGGGGATTCTTATCTATTTGAGTGGTACCACAACAAATAGATTGTATACTATTTTGTGACAGTAGTGCTTCGTGCATGATTTACCGAAAGTGATTTTGTGAGTTATAGAGTCATAAACACTCTAATGGAAATGACTGAGGGTGACGGCAATCAAGGAAAGGTACTCTCTAATCTGGATGGAGAAAAGATGCATGTAAGTTAAATTTAATTAAAATTTCGACTTTGGACGTTGTCAAGCGAATCGTGTGATTTACGGACGAGTTTTCCAGTTCGAATACGAGTTGACTTCTACTGGTGAGCGAGTGGTACTCGGCAAGGGTACATACGGAGTAGTATATTCGGCTAGAGACGTAACGACACAGCGACAAATTGTCGTAAAAGAGATTGAAGTGAAATACGATGAAGAGGTAATCAGTATATTTGACATTTGTGTCTGAGTCGTCATTTTGACCGTATTGCATAACAGGTGCAACCACTAATGGAGGAGATTAATCTACACTCAACGCTCAGCCATCAGAATATCGTACAGTACCTTGGCTGTGATGTTGTACACAGGTTCGTTATTTCAGAGAATTGTACAGTATACCTTTAGTTCAAATGAGTATTCCTTCTTTGAGGATTTATTTCTCTTGTGGTATAACGTACATATGCAGTATGTTCCAAATTTCGTTTTGGACGCAGCAGCATAAACATTTCCTTATATTGGTTATAAAAGTCATAAATTTTTTTGCAGGGATACAGGCAATGATGTGTTTCTGATTTTTATGGAGCACGTTCCCGGAGGAAGTTTGAGCAGTTTATTACGGTCGAAATGGGGTCCTTTAAACGAGCCAGCCATGGTCTTATATGGAAAACAGATCCTTGAAGGCCTACGGTTCGCTAGGCATTATAAGCTTCATTTCCATTTTAACACGCTTTTTCTACTGAATATTTAAGATCTCGCGTCGTACTTTTAGAGAGTATTATAAAAAATTATTGGATGATAGTTACATTACTCATAGAGACCTCAGTAAAAAGGCAAAAGTAATTCCTAAATACAAACAAAGACATTAGGCTGCTCACTTTCTTGTTCATATATATGTATTTTTGTACGTATATATATATATATATATATACCTTTTTGAACAACTAACCTATACTTAGATATCTTCACGAGCAGAAAATCGTCCATCGTGATATCAAAGGTGATAATGTGTTGGTGAACACTTACAGTGGAGTATGTAAGATCAGTGATTTTGGTACCTGTAAGCGTTTGGCTGGTTTGAATCCCGTCACAGAGACCTTCACTGGTATGAAACAATTATTCTGCTTTTGCAAGTTTTACACTTTAGAGGTGATAGAAATGTGAAAATTCGTTAAGGTACCTTGCAATACATGGCGCCAGAAGTCATTGATCATGGTCAGCGCGGTTACGGTGCACCAGCAGACATATGGAGCTTCGGTTGCACGATGGTTGAAATGGCTACGGGGCGACCACCATTCGTCGAAGTCGGTGCCTTATCGTTCAGTTGGTAGTGTTTTTGTAGTTATCATCTATAAATTTATTTTCAGATGCAAAACCCTCAAGCCGCTATGTTCCGTGTGGGAATGTTCAAGACGCATCCACCGCTTCCAAACGATATTTCGGAGAAATGCCGACATTTTATTAAAAGGTTGGGCTTATTGAAAGGTCTGGCGCTATGCGGGCATTAGTTGGTGTGCTGTTGTAATGGTGCCAATATATAAATGTTAACTGAAATGTGGCGCTTCAAGGTGACTCATTCAGTTGCATAGAACAATTTATAGTTAAAATTATCGATGGCGTGGAGAACTTTCACAATCGATACAAATTCCAATTGGCAAATCGTGTTAATTATGAACACCTTAAAAGTGGATATTAAGTGGAGAAGCAGAAGTAGGATTCGAGAAGCCGATAGCTTTTTACACTTTTCTACTGCTAGGGACATTTGTGGCACAGTGGTCGTTCTGCAACACACGTAGAATCGACCCCTGCGCACATGGCCCACCAAGCTTTCCTTCCCTTCAGGGTTACCAAATTGGTACCGGACTTGTCTGGGAGGGTAGCAGCACTTGTTCGGTACATCGGTAGGCCACCGCGAATCATTTTAAAGGCCAGATATGCATTCAATAACCTCCAAACGATGTTTGATGAAGCCGAATGCATGGCGCATCCCTCAGGGATTGATCAACGCCGGGAGCCTTATTCTTCATCCTTTATATTGATTTCTTGGTTTCTTTGAGAGTTTTTTGAGAGTCTTCAAAATTTTATATGGATTAAATTTGGTTAAAATTAAAATTACAATGTATGGTGCTTTCAGCTGTTTTGAGCCGGATCCTCTCCAGAGACCTCGTGCATCAAAATTGCTCAGTGATCCATTCATTCAGCAGTATCATCATTCGTCAGTTTCTTGGTTAATTTTCGTTTAGTTTATGAAAAGTTCCGAAGTCGTTCACAAAAAATTTTTTTTGCTTAATTATTCTTTTTTCTGCATGGTGAAAGAGCACTGAAAATGTTGCCAAGTTTTCTCTTTTTTTTTTAATTCACTACATAATAGTTCCCAGGATCGACTTTCTATTAACCTCGGCATGGGAATGTGAATGCGTCGTTTTCTTGTTCAGCAATTGTGAGATTTTTAAACAGCATACAATTACTCCCATAGAGAAACACAATACAATACAACGCTAGCTGACGTTTCGGCAGTATCGCCTTCTTCAGAGCCTGGAAAGGTATGCTGATATACAATCTCCTAGGCCAAACGCTTCAATAACACTTACAAAAAGACGAAAAACTCTATGGTAATTACATGATCAACAGTTTCTCAAAAAACTCACCGCTTTTTACGTGACTTCCAATGAAGAAGTTTAGAACAACTGATTACAGTCGCATATGGTTGATGACTGCACCATCCTACATGAGAAATTGGTGCGAACATACGTGGTCAGGTTGCGTATGACCTCTGGGCATTAATCTCTGTTATTCATTGTTGGGTTTTTGGCATTTATCCAAAAACCCTCAAAAAATTTTCGCGCTATTCTTTTAGTCTCCTGTGCAAGGATATTGACTTTTACTTCAAAATCGTTTCCGCTGTGCTTTTGTATCCTATGCGCGCCTAGTGGGGTGCTTCGTCTTAGTTTTCGTTTGCCATCTAGGTGTTCTTTTATAAGGATACACAAAGGCCTGCCCATTTCGCCAATATATTCATCTCCGCAATTATTACTAGAGATCAGGTATATCGTACCTGAACTCATGCAATCACCGTCCCTGCCGTAAGGGCAAATTATGCAATTTGTTGTTTCACATAGACGGTCATACAGGGAGTTACGAACTAATTGACAACGTAAAGTAGCCGGTGGTATTTCAACTAGGCAGCATAAACAGGACTTTCTTTTGGCCAAGTGTTTCGTTTCGGCGCGTCGCTCTCCCTCTAATCATATTTCGTGGAGTTACTATTTTGTAGCCATTGGAGATGGCTATCTGCCGAGCCAAGTGGCGCGATTCTTCCTTTAGTTCCCTGGTAGTGCGCACAGAGGTGACTGTTGGAAACATCGTTCTCACAATCGCCGTCTTTGCGTATGAAGGGTGGTAAGAAAGGAAATGAACGAGGGTGTTCTTGTTACTTGGCTTTCGGTACCACTTTGTAAAGTCACTGCTACTTGTTAGCTTTATTTGAACGTCCAAAAACGGAAGCCAGTTTTTTATCGGTTTCTGCCGGGTGAACTTTATGTACTCGGACTGCTTGTTCAGTAATTCAAAGCATTTGTCCATCTTCTCCTGCGTAGAAAAGATGACAAAACAATCATCTACATATCTGCAGTAGAGTAGTGGCGGGAGGTCAAGAACAGAGGCTTCTATCTTAGACATAAACACAATGGCAAGGCTTAGTACCAGTCACTGTCCCATTGCCAACCCCCTTATTTGCGCGAAATATTTCCCGGACCATCTGAAAATCGAGCGGTTTAGGCACTGCTTTAAGAGAGCCATTAGCTGCTTGATGGACAAGCCATGCATATTTATTCTTCCTTCATGTTCAACAAGAAGTTCGAAGATGGCTTGCATTTCGGAGTCATTCGATACGTTGGTGTACAGTGCGGTAACGTCGAAAGACTCCATCACGTACGCGTTATTAGGAGACGCGTTACGTAGACGTTCTAGGAACATCATTTGGGTGTTTGTGAGGTGAGCTGGAATGTGGTTAAGCAACTGGGTAAGTATCAGGGTTGAAAACCAGGTCATTCTATCCGTTGGCCCGTCTACATAGCTGATGATCGGTCTAACCTTAAATGGTGACGGATTGGTTGACGCAAGATCATCAGGTGATACCAACTTATGTGTTGTAATAAGTAGGTATAGGACGGCACATGTTGGTTTATCGAATTTAAAGTGCGAAACAACCGATGATTTTAAACCCGCAGCCTTTGCCACGCTGACCCATTGATTGTTTAGCTTTCGGTATTGACTTTTATATTCCTTTTCAGAGGATGGGCGATAGAAGTTAGCATCACTAAGATGTTCCTCTGTTATCTCAACATCTAGCTGGCGAGGAATAACTACGAACTCTCTCTGCTTATCACTAACGGACCATCTTATTGTTTTCGAGTTAATTATTTTTCTAATTTCTCATATGCCACATTTTTGTGCGGCTGTAAAGTTAGAGATAAAGTTTTTATCGCGGTAGTGATCAAGGGTCTTGAGAACGCCGTCCGAAAACGCGCGGAATTTTGTCAACTCCATCGTTAGGGTCCTGCTTTCTAAAAAACGTTTTAGGGAATAGAGATGGTGGTAGTGTCACCGCCTTTTGATTTTTATCTCTATTTGATGTTTCTTGCTTGGCCTGATAGCGGAGTCGATCTTGAAGCTCATAAAGGTTTGCATGCCATCCTACGCAGGGTCGTTTTAGAAATGGGCTATGATGGTGCAAAACTTGGGCCCAATTCTAAAAGCGAGCGCGCATTCTCAGATATTGTTATGCCCCCAATCACGATGACCCTAGATTTTTTTTTGGTGCATTGTCAACCCCATTTTGACTACTATCAGAATCGTAAGGAATTCGTTCGCGGGTGTTTCTTGAAGCTGAGACGTGTGAATTACCCAGAAGATTTTCGAATTTTCCTTGCACAGGAGACTAAAACACTAGCGCGAAAACTTCTTGAAGCTTTTTGGATAAATGCCAAAAACGCTGCAATGAATAGCAGGGAGGAATGCTCAGAGGTCATACACGACCTGACCCCGTATGTTCGCATCAATTTCTGATGTGGTATAGTGCAGTCGTCAACCATATGCCACTGTAATCAGCTGTTCTGAACTTCCTCAGTGGAAGTCACTTAAAATCGGTGAGTTTTTCGAGAAGCTGTTGATCGTGTAGTTACCATGGAGTTTTTCGTCTTTTTGTAAGTGTTATTGAAGCGCTTGACCTAGTAGATTGCATATCAGTATACTCTTCCAGGCTCTGAAGAAGGCGACACTGCCGAAACGTCAGCTGATTTTGTATTGTATTGTGTTTCTCTGTGGAAGTAAATATATGCTGTTTTAAAACCTCGCTATTGCTGAACAAGAAAACGACGCATTCACTACATAATAACGGTATCGAGGAGGATTCGTCACCCCGGCAGTGTCTCCCAAGCTGAGAAGGAGTCCGACGTTTCCATCAGAAAGTCTAGCTAAGAGTAAACCAATACCAAGATCCACCACCGTCCTGGTATCAAAGTCGCATGGTGGTAAATCTTTCTATGGTCCACACGGGCTGCGACTGCCTGTGGTGGTGAAGACCTGGGGCAGCGGGCCAGGCTCACCTTGAGACTACAGCGAACCACAATGGCTTAACCAGCAAATCTCCAAAAAATGGTGATTATTCTGGGGCCCGCAGAACTAGTGATGACAGACCGTGCAAGTATCATGTACCAAGTAAATAACGGTATAAGTAGCCACATCACTATAAAGGGTTTTACTGGAATAATGTTTCCTTATTAGCCCAGGAAGCTGTGGTAGGTTCTTAAAGTAATTTTTGAAAATTTTTGATGCCAAGCAGAGGATGCAGCTCTCAAGAGGCAATGGTCAGCATGTTTTATAATCTCACTTGTCTTTGAGAACCATTTTGACCTAGGTGGTTTGGATTTCTGCATACTCATAATAGAAGATGTAATCGCCGAGCCTAAGCTTAAACCTTTTTAAAATTCGAGTTCGATGTACACAGGGCGCCAAAAAAGCATTTACTAAAGTAGCATGGTAAATTTCCGGTTCAATGAGCCCACAGCTTACATGTCGCCAGATCTATCAATTGGACGTGATGGATTACGAACTCGCCTTTTTATTCTTCGTATTTTTGTTGAGCAAACGCGAGGTGTTATTGTTTTATGTTATGTTACGCTTTTTTATGTTACGGCTACCTGTTCGGCGGATTTCACCTTCTTAAAAGCCTGGAAATGTCAAGTTGACTGCAATCTATCCACTTCCGTACTTACTTACTGTTACTTGTTACTTGAATGGCCCGTCCTCACTGGTTGTTTGGACCCCAGTGTAATCTTTACTTTTCGGAGACTTGCTTGCCAAGCCATTGTGGTTCTCTGGAATCACGAGGTCAGCCTTGCCAAAGTCTGCTCCAGGTCTTCACCACCATAGGCAGTCGCATCCCTTGTGGATCAAGGGGAGATTTGCCACATACCAGGACTGTGGTGGATCCTGGTATTGGTTTACT